CAGGTTCCAGCTGAGCATCCAGACTAAGAGACTAGAAGAAGGACCTGGAAGTCTACTTCTGAAAAAATTAGCCACTGAAAACCTTATGAATAGCAGTGAAACATTATCTGATATAGTGCCAGAAGATGAGCCCCTCAGGTTGGAAGGCACTCAAAATATGACTGGGGGAGAGCTGCCTCCTCAGAGTAGAGTCGACCTTAATGACATGGATGGAGTCAAGCTTTTGGGACCTTCATTGGCTGATGTGGCACGACTCAAAATGAGAAGAAACAGCTGCAAACTGTTTACAGTGTGAATCTAGGAAAACTGGAAGTCGTCAAAAAAGAAATGGAACTCATAAACGTCTATAACCTAGGCATTAAACCCATTGTTGTCAAGTCAATTCTGACTCTTAGCGACCCTATAGGACGGAGTAGAACTGCCCCATAGGGTTTCCAAGGAATGGCTGGTGGATTCAAACTGCCATCCTTTTGGTCAACAACCAAATCCTTAACCACTGCACCACCAGGGTTCTGTACTAGGCATTAATGAGCTGGAAAGGACTGGTATTGACTATTTTGAGTTGGACTATTGTATGGTCTACCATGCCGGGAATGACAACGTGAAGAGGAATGGCATTGTGTTCAATGTCAAAAAGAACATTTCAAGATCTATCCTGAAGTACAACGCTGTCAGTGATAAGATAATAGTCATACGCCTACAAGGAAGACCAGTAAATATGAGTATTATTCAAATTTACAGACCAACCACTAAGGCCAAAGATGAAGAAATTGAAGACTTTTGCCAACTTCTGCAGTGTGAAATTGATCAAACATGCAATCAAGACGCATTGATAATTACTGGTGAGTGGAATGCAAAAGTTGGAAATAAAGAAGAAGTATTGGTAGTTGAAAAATACGGCCTTTGTGATAGAAATGATGCTGGAGGTCCGTGATAGAATTTTGAAAGACCAACAATTTATTCATGGTAAGTACCTTTTTTCAACAAGAGAAACAGCAAGTATACACGTGGACCTCGCCAGACGGAATGCACAGGAATCAAATCGACTACACCTGTGGAGAGAAACAATGGAAAAGCTCAGTCAGAACAAGGTCCAGGGCCAACTGCTGAACAAGCCATCAATTGCTGCTATGCAAGTTCAAGCTGAAGTTGAAGAAAATTTAAACAAGTCCATTAGTATGACCTTGAGCATATCCCAGCAGAATTTAGAGACCATATCAAGAATAGATTTGACGCATTGAACAAGAATAGATTTGACGCATTGAACACTAATGACTGAAGACCAAACAAGTTGTGGAATTACATCAAAGACATCATACATGAAGAAAGCAAGAGGTCATTAAAAAGACAGGAAATAAAGAAAAGACCAAAATGGATATCAGAAAAGACTCTGAAGCTTGTTCTTGAATGTAGAGTAGGTAAAGTGAAAGGAAGAAATGAAATAAAAGATCTGAATAGAAGATTTCAAAGGGTGGCTTGAGAAGACAAAGTAAAGTATTATAATGGAGTTAGAAAACCAAAAGGGAAGAACACGCTTGGCATTTCTCAAGCTGAAAGAACTGAAGAAAAAATTCAAACCTCAAGTTGCAATATTGAAGGTTTCTATGGGCAAAATATTAATTGACGCAGGAAGCATCAAAAGAAGATGGAAGGAGTACACAGAATTACTGTATCAAAAATAATAGGTCGATGTTTAACCATTTCAGGAGGGAGCATATGTTCAAGAACTGATGGTACTGAAGGAAGAAGTCCAAGCTGCACTGCAAAACAAGGCTTCAGGAACTGACGGAATACCAACTGAGATGTTTCAACAAACTGATGCAGCGCTGGAGGTACTCACTGATTTATGCCAAGAAATTTGAAGGACAGCTTACTTGGACAACCGACTGGAAGAGATGTATATTTTTATCCATTCCAAAGGAAGGTGATCAAATAGAATGCAGAAATTATCAAACAGTATCGTTAATATCACACACAAGTAACAATTATTGTGAGGATGGTGCAGGACTGTGCAGTGTTTTGTTCTGTTGTACGTAGGGTCACTATGAGTCGAAACCAACTCGACAGCTATCAACAAGAACACACAATGGAATACTACACAACTATAAAGAACAAAGATGAATCCAGGAAATATCTCACAATATGGGTGAATCTGGAGGGTATTATGCTGAGTGAAATAAGTCAGTCACAAAAGGACAAATATTGTATGAGACCACTATTATAAAGAAACAAGAAAATTTGGTTTACACACAGGAACAAAAACCAATCTTTGATGGTTATGAAGGACGGGAGGGTTCAGAAGGGAAATCACTAACTAGATAGAATACAAGTGTTAACTTTGGTGAAGGGAAAGGCAGCTCACAATATAGGGGAAGTCAGCACAACTTGACCAAGGCAGTCATGGAAGCTTCCTAGACACATCCAAACACCTTGAGGGACTGAGTTACTGGGGCTGGGTCCTGGAGACCATGGTCTCGAGGATCATCTAGGTCAACTGGCATAACACGGTTCATAATGAAAATGTTCTACATCCTACTTTGGTGTGTAGCCCCTGGGGTCTTAAAAGCTTGCGAGTGGCCCTCTAGGATACATCTAGTGATCTCATCCCATCTAGAGCAAAGGAGAATGAAGAAAACCAAAGACACAAGGGAAATAGGAGTCCAAAGGACTAGAGGACCGCATTTACTACAGCCTCCACCAGCCTGAGCCCAGAAGAACTAGATGGTGTCAGGCTACCACCACTGACCGCTCTGTCAAGGATTACAATAGTGTCCTGGACAGAGCAGATGAAAAATGTAGAACAAAATTAAAATTTATTAAAAAAAAAGACCAGACTTACGGGTCTGACAGAGACTGGAGGAACCCCAAGACTATAGCCCCTGGACACCCTGCTAACTTAGAACTGAAGCCACTCCCAAAATTCACCTTTCAGCCAAAGATTAGACAGGCCTATGAAACAAACAATAACACATGAGAAGAATGTGCATCTTAGTTCAGTGAAGTATATGAGACCAAGTGGGCAACGCCTGCCCAAAAGCAAAGACGAGAAGGCAGGAAGGGACAGGAAAATTGGATGAATGGACATGGGGTACCCGGGGTGTAAAGGGAAAGGGGAAGAGTGCTGACACAATGTGGGGATGGCAACCAACATCACAAAACATTTTGTGCATAAATTTTTGGAATGAGAAACTAATTAGAGCTGTAAACTTTCACCTAAAGCACAATAAAATTAAAAAAATAATTCTAAAGGAGACTCACTGCTCACTTTTTGAGTGCATACTCTGTACAAGGTTGTCATGCCAGGTTATGACAGGCAGTAGGTGAAAGGTATAAGGTAAGTCCAGAACAAAGATACCAGGCACGCATTATGCTTAAGGATCTGGAAAAATAGGTTGAAGTTCAATAAACAACAAAAATAAAGAATCATAAATGCCAGAGGGCACAATACTGTATGTTGTCTAAAGTCAATTCAAATATCAGGCTGTGGACACTGATGGAGCAGAGTAAGGCAGATGTTCATAGCAGTCAGTCAGCAAGCAACTGACCAAAATGCCTAGAATATATGGGGGTGAAGAAAAGGCTGGATAGAGCTAAAGTAACAGAGAAAACATCCTTATACTGAAGTAGCATTATGTCTCAGCCTCAAACACCTTTGGCCTGAAGGAAGACTCGTTGGTTAATAACTATAAACAGGTGGAACATGAATGTTGTGATTGGAATGACGTTCTTAGACTGAGAAATTTCCTACACAGTGACACTACTCAATGCTGAATCAGGATAGTGTGAGGCCAAGGGTATGTTGATCATTGTAAAATGTTGCTGTGAAGTCAGGAAAGTGATCTTTGGGGGTACCGTTTAAGTAAAGTGGTAAGCATGCAAAACAGATTGCAGGGCTTTACTGAGATGAGTGGGCAGCAAGAAAATAGAGATAGCAAGTAGATCGTTCAATTCATGTAGTTGTAAGGGAGAGGAGAAATGGGATGATAGATTGAAGCACAGTGTGGTCAATTCATTTTTTTTTCCAAGAGGAGATGGATATGTTTGAAGGTAGAGGGGGAAGGAAGAAGTTGAGAGGGAGATACTGAAGATACCTTTGAATAGAAGAAATAATTGAGACATCAAGGTCCTTGAAAATGCTGAAAAATTAGTAAACCTTAGAAAAAAGAAAATAAACATTTTCAAAACTGGAGATGTAAGTCAATGTAAATATATGGTTAGAAATTATTTGACAGAAACATTTTTTTCCCAAGAAACTAATTTTTGTGAAGGGATTAATAAATTCTACACTTCATGATGGATAATAAAGATTTGACCAGTTTGTTGACTCCATAAATTTAGCTGGGCAAATATTCTCTTTTTCATTGGAATATTGTTTAGAAATGACAGCTGAGATCTAACATAAAGGCAACGAATTCAGTTATATGTGAAGTCATCTTTAAAAAGCTTGGCTATGATTTATTATGAAAGAAACTACAGAAATAAAGAGGTTGCAATTATTCAAACTTGAAAATAGGGAAAACAAACAGTATTGTGAAAGTATTTGTATTTACTAAATTCTACTTCAAGAACTTCTAAGTCATCTGCACAAAAGAATATATTTAGAAAGTTTCACATTTTGGGAGAAAAATCTAAAACTAGCCTGATATGCAGAGATTTTGTCAGATGTTGATATCTTTAGAATTATTCTCCTGCTAGCGTGGTACATACAAGAGCATCACATGGAGTCATATATCTTCAGTGAGTCTTTGGGATTTAAGACCTGTAGAAATTAAAATTTGAGAATTAAATATTTCTCTGACTGGAGCATTAACGAATGATTTATTTGATAAGCCTCAGGTCATATACTTTTGAAAATTGCTTTAAAAAAAGTCCTTTAGAGTTCTTATTTTTAATAATAACTACAAAACTGGCTTCACATCTGTCCTCATTTCTCTTTATAGGTATATATAAAAGAAGAATTAATGTTTTGTGTTTTTGGGTGTCTAATTACTGTTTTGCAGTATGTCATGTTGCTTGCAAGCTAGCGTGCATGGGTGAAGGCTCAATTTCTTCAGAAAAAGCTATTCGAAGACAGATTTTGGTAAGTGCTAATTAATTGAGGAGAAAATGCAAATGGAATGAAAAATAAAAAAAAGCTGAGTTTATTCTGTCTCATGTATACAAAGTAGAACCTCACTCCATAGGGTTTCAAGACTGTGACCTTTCAGAAGCAGATTGCCAGGCCTTTCTTCCAAGGTGCCTGTGGGTTTAAATTGCCAACCTTTCAGTTAGCAGTTGAGTGCTTAACCATTTGTGCCACCCAGGGACCACATAAATGCAATGAGATGGTGGTTATACCTATGAAGATGATTGAAGTTAGTGTAAACCTGGAAGGAGGTTGAATCCTTTAGTGCTATCCTTGTTCCTTTTATGATAGATATATTTACTGGAGTTAAAGGTCTCAGCAGTACTATAGTTGTTATTACAGTAGTTCAGTGGACTCAATATTGAACTTATAGTTCAGGATTTATGAATTATTTTTGCTTTTACCACCTCTAACTTGTTAGAATAGTAGTTTCTACATCTAGAAAAACTTGAGCAGTATTATTTAGTCTTAAAAGAATTTTGGGGGAGAGGCAGGGACAAGATGGTGGAATAGTCAGACCTTCCGGTGGTCCCTCTTACAACAAAGACCCGAAAAAACAAGTGAGTTGATTATATATGAGAATCTAGGAGCCCTGAATATCAAAGACAAAGGTGAAGAATTGGACTGAGTGGCAGGGGGAGGGAGAGATGTTTCAGAGGCAGTGAGGAGTTGCCAGACCTGACCTGGTGGGAACAGGCACCCTGTGGGCCAGATCAGCTGGTGTGCGCAGTGAGGCAAGCAGAGGCATTTGGGACGCATTTTCCACACTGGGAGAGACCGAGTGGCAGAGAGTCTACTCAAGCCTCCCAAACCAGTGAAAAGCGGTGCTCGATCAGCAAAAGATAAGTACATGCATCTCACCTACCATGTGGATCAAAAAATACCCATTTGGGAAGAACCTGTCTCCCATTTACCTGCTCCCTCCCCACTCAGCAACAGGTCTCAGGACCGCTTCAGTGACTGCCACTTCCCCTGGGCCGGAAGTGGGACCTGTCACATACCCTGAGCCATTTTCCTGGCCTTGGAGAGGGAACAAATTAACAAAAAGGAAAAAATAATCTGTCAGCTCCTCTAAGCCAGGAACTCAAGGAAGGCAGAGCTCCTTTGCCTAGGCACACGTGTAAGGGGTCCATGGACTTTCAATGCCTTTCACCCCTGCATAGACCTGTGTGGGCCCAATTCAACAGCGTATGTCCTCATTAGCACAGTACAACATGGTACATACCTGAAGCCCAACTTCACTATATCAGCTATATGGTGGAGTGGTAGGTTCGTGACATTTGACACCACTCTGTCCATTAAGCAGGGTCCCACATCAGGGGCCTGAGGACTGGGGCTCCACCCACACCACCTAGCCACCCTAGACAGGGGTCTGAGAATAAGTTGTGCCTCCCAGTACTTACAGCCAAAAGCACCGGGTGCCCATAGTCTGGCTGTAAAACCCACCCACCTGCGCACTCTAGGGAACAGGGACACGCTTTCCTCCCAGATACTCAGGGGCAGTCATTAGCCCCCTGCCTTACTCAGCAGGTGACTCCCTACTCCACCCAGATACCTGTGCCTACACCAATCACTCCTGCCTGTCTAGGATGGTAGGTGAGAGCCTGCACCACACGCTTGGTGACCAACTACCTGGACACCTGAGCTGAATCCATACAAGAAAAGTAAACAGACTCCTGGGCTCACGTACCTAGTAACAGATCTAACCACCTGGTGACAGGATGGTAGAGCTTCAAAGATGCAAGTAATCAAACTAGCTCACACAAGCAGCCTATTTGGGCATATCAAAACAAAACAAAACAAGAAGCTAGGACACAGTAAGCAAACATAAAATAAATATAATAACTTACTGATGGCTTGGAGACAACAGTCAATATCAAATCACATAAAGAGGCAGACCATGATGGCTTCAGCCAGCTCCCAAAACAAAGAATCAAGAAATTTTCTGGAAGAAGAGAATTTCTTGGAATTACCAGAGGTAGAATACAAAAGATTAATATACAGAACTCTTCAGTAGATCAGGAAAGAGATCATGCAAATTGCAGAACATGCTAAGGAACACACCAACAAAGCAATAGAGGAACTTAAAAAGATTATAGAAGAGCATAAAGACAAATTTAACAAACTGCAAGAATCCATAGAGAGACAGAATACAGAAATCCAGAAGATTAACAGTACAATTTCAGAATTAGACAACTCCATAGAAAGTCATAGGAGCAGAATTGAGGCAATGGAAGTCATAATTAATGAGATGGAAGATAAAGCTCTTGACACCAACCTATTTGAGAAAAAATCAGATAAAAGAATTTTAAAAAATGAAGAAACCCTAAGAATTATGTGGGACTGTATCAAGAGGAATAACCTCTGAGTGATTGGAGTGCCAGAACAGGGGGAGATAACAGAAAATACAGAGAGAATTGTTGAAGATTTGTTGGCAGAAAACTTCCCTGATGTTGTGAAAGATGAGAAGAAATCTATCCAAGATGCTTATTGAACCCCACACAAGGTAGATCCCAAAAGAAAGTCACCAAGACATATTATAATCAAACTTGCCAAAACCAAAGATAAAGACAGAATTTTAAGAGCATCTAGGGGTAAACAAAAAGACATCTATAAAGGAGAGTCAATAAGACTAAGCTCAGACTACTCAGCAGAAACCATGCAGGCAAGAAGGCAATGGAATGACATATATAAAGACTTGAAGGAGAAAAATTGCCAGCCAAGAATTATATATCCAGCAAAACTGTCTCTCAAATATGATGGTGAAATTAGGGCATTTCCAGATAAATAGAAGTTTAGGGAATTTGCAAAAACCAAATGAAAATTACAAGAAGTACTAAAGGGAGTCCTCCACTTAGAAAATCAATAACAACAGATAACAGCCCAAGACTAGAACACAGGACAGAGCAACCAGATATTAACTCAGATAGAGAAGTCAGAAAAATAAATCAAAGCAAAAACACTGAAAATAGGGAAACAGAGACGTCAATATGTAAAAGATGACAACATTAAAACAAAAAAGAGAGAGACTAAAGAAATGTAGTCATAAATCTTTCATTTGGAGAGGAAGTCAAGGTGATATAAAGAAATAAAAGAGTGGTTTATACTTTGAAAAATAGGGGTAAATATTAAGGTAAACACAAAGGAAACTAACAATCCTATACATCAAAATAAAAAACAAGAAAAACACGAAGACTCACGAATAAAAAAAAAATCAACAACAATGAAAAAGATGAAAAGAAAATATATAGAGAAAAACGACTCAGCACAGAAAATTAAATGGAACAAAGAAACTGTCAACAACACCAAAAAAAAAGACATCAAAGTGACAGCACGAAACATACCTGTCAATAATTATGCCGAATTTAATGGACTAAACGCACCAATTAAGAGACAGAGAGTGGCAGAATGGATTAAAAAACATGATCTGCCTATATGCTGCCTACAAGAGACACACCTTAGACTTAAAGACACAAATGAACTAAAACTCAAAGGATGGAAAAAAATGTATCAAGGAAACAAAACTCAAAAAAAAGTAGGAGTGGCAATATTAATCTCTGACAAAATAGACTTTAAAGTAAAATCCACCATAAAGGATAAGGAAGGACACTATATAATGATTAAAGGGTCAATACACCAGGAGGACATGCTATAATAAAAATTTACGCACCCAATGACAGGGCTCCAAGATACATAAAAAAAATTCTAACGGAATTGAAAAGAGAGATATACAGCTCCAAAATAATAGTAGGAGATTTCAACACACCCCTTTTGGTGAAGGACAGAACGTCCAGAAAGAAGCTCAATAAAGTCACGGAAGATCTAAATGCCATTATCAACCAACTTGATCTCATAGACATATACAGAACACTCTACCCAACAGCAGCCAAGTATGCTTTCTTTTCCAATGCATATGAAACATTCTCCAGAATAGACCACATATTAGGCCATAAAGCAAGCCTTAACAAAATCCAAAGCATTGAAATATTACAAAGCATTGTTTCTGACCATAAAGCCATAAAAATAGAAATCAATAACAGAAAAAAGCAAGGAAAAAACATCAAACACATGGAAACAGAACAACACCTTGCTCAAAAACTACTGGGTTGTAGAAGAAATTAAGGATGGAATAAAGAAATTTCACAGAATCAAATGAGAATGAAAACACATCCTACCAGAACATTTGGGACTTAGCAAAAGCAGTGCTCAGATGTCAGTTTATAGCAATAAACGCACACATCCAAAAAGAAGAAAGGGCCAAAATGAAAACATTATCCCTAAAAGTTGAACAAGTAGAAAGAGAGCAGCAAAAGAAGCCGTCAGGCACCGGAAGAAAGGAAATAATAAGAATTAGAGCAGAATTAAATGAAATAGAGAATAGAAAAAATTGAAATAGTTAACAAGACCAAAAGCTGGTTCTTTGAAAAGATCAACAAAATTGATAAACCATTGACCAAACTGACAAAAGAAAAACAGGAGAGGAAGCTAATAACCTGAATAAGAAATGAGATGAGCGAGATCACAGCCGACCCAACTGAAATTAAAAGAATCGTAACAGAATACTATAAAAAATTGTAACAAATATGAAAACCTAGAGGAAATTGACAAATTTCTAGAAACTCACTAGCTACCTAAACTAACACAAACAGAGATAGAACAACTAAATAAACCCATACAAAAGAAGAGATTGAAAAGGTAATTTAGTATATCCCGACCAAAAAAAAAAAAGCCCTGGCCCTGAAGGTTTCACTGGAGAATTCTACCAAACTTTCAGAGAAGAATTAATACCACTACTACTGAAAGTATTTCAGAGCATAGAAAAGGATGGAATACTCCCAAACTCATTCTACAAAGCCAGCATAATCCTGATACCAAAGCCAGGTAAAGACACCACAAAAAAAGAAAATTAAAGACCAATATCTCTCACAAACATAGATGCAAAAATCCTCAACAAA